TTTAAAGCAAAGAGAAGATAAAAAACATTCAGGTATCCACCTCCAGGAATTTCTTGTTATTGGTGTTTTTATTTCTCTTTGTTTTATGAGATATTAGGGGTGGGACACAGGGGCATGCAAGACAAATGACATCAAGTCACAAGACAGCACAGAAGGCTTACAAGGAGGTGTCTATCAAGGCAGCATGTGATCAGTGTACTATATACAAGAGTATGTGTCCTTCCCCACAGATACATAAACCGGTAATGGGTGCTCAGGTAGAGAGAGGTGCTTTTTAAGAGATGTAGCCACTCATATGTTATTCACACTCTTGTAGGCAGGCCTTTATATATGCTCCTATCAGCAACACTAATTAAACTTCTTGGTTTGCCAAATTAGATTTTGGGGGAATAAGTTGTTTGGTCTGTTATTAGTACCTTATCTTAAGAGATCAAGTATTCATTTTTTTCTCATCATTCTGGGAAGTTAACGCAGCATGCAAAGATGAGTTTGAGAGGAGATGTTGTATTAGTATAGATTAAAGTATCTTATTATAATTTAATTAACAAGTAAAATTGTATATATTTCTTATGTGTAGCATGATGTTTTTATGTAAATGCACAGTGGAATGATTAAGAAAACTGACTAATATGTATATGACTTTGTGCCTTAGCAATACCACCAAGCTGTAAATAATTTTTGAGGAGTACATTTAATATCTATTCTCTTAGAAACTTTAAAGTATACAATCAATTGTTGTAAGACTAGAGTTACTCTGTTGTACAAAATATCTCCCAAGTCTGCCATTTAATAAAATCTCTTCTTTTTAAAATTTACTTATTTATTTATAAAAATTTCCACTTCCTCCCCTCCTCCCAACACCCTCCCACTCCCCCCACTCCCTCTTCTCCTCCCTCTCCAGTCCTAAGAGCAGTCAGGGTTTCCTGCCCTGTGGGAAGTTCAAGTTCCTCCCCCCTCCCTCCAGGTCTAGGAAGCTGAGCATCCAAACAGACTAGGATCCCAAAAAGGCAGTACATGCAGACGAAACAAGACCCAGTGCCATTGTCAATGGCTTCTCAGTCAGCCCCCATGTCAGCCACATTCAGAGAATCTGGTTTGATCACATGCTCGTTCAATCCCAGTCCAGCTGGCCTTGGTGAGCTCTAATTAGATCAGTCCCCTTGTATCAGTGGGTGAACACACCCCTCGTGGTCCTGACTTCCTTGTTCATGTTCTTCCTCCTTCTGCTCCTCATTTGGACCTTGGGGGCTCAGTCCAGTGCTCCAATGTGGGTCTCTGTCTCTATCTCCATCCATCGTCGGATGAAGGTTCCCTCTGATCCTGCCTTCCTTGCTCACGTTCTCCCTCCTTCTGCTTCTCATTTGGACCTATGGTATGGGAGAATTTTATTCTGTCACTCATGTATTTTAATAAAACACTGATTGGCCAGGCAGGAAGTATAGGCGGATCAACCAGACAGGAAGTAGAGGCGGGGCAATGAGAATAGGAAAAGGCTAGGGAGGAGAAAGCTCCCTCTGCGACTCCTGCACAGACCACCAAAGAGGCAGCATGTAACTTGCCCAGCTGAAAAAGGTACCAAGCCATATGGCTAACGTAGATAAGGATAATGGGGTAATATATGTCATAAGAACTGATAAGTAGCCTGACCTAATGGGCCAATCAGCTTTATAACTTATAGAGATCTCTGTGTGATTAATTTTCTCTGGGACTTGCCGGTTGTGGGGTACCTGGGCGGGACAGAAGCCCCAACAAGCCGGCTTTCATGTAACAGACCTAGGGAGTTAAGTCCAGTGTTCCAATATGTGTCTCTATCTCTATCTCCATCCATCGCCAGATGAAGGTTCTCTCTGGATAGAACTCCTCAGCACTGAAATAGGGACAGCTGGTATTCCAAGGACACAGGAGACAAAAGGGCGACAGTGGGAGCAAGGAAGAGACTCGTGGAACACCGAAGACCCTGCCGCAGAAGCTCTAAAATCTCTTCTTACCAATATCTCTCCAATGCATTACCTTCCCTGCCTAGGCCCCTGTCCATATTCTGGGTTCTAGTCCCTGAACAAATTGGGCATGGTGGAAGAACCTTTAACCCATCAGCTCAGCATCTCCTCTACTGATGCTCTTGTCACATACACCCTTCCAGGATCCTTATCCTCAGCTGAAGGTAATTCCATCTTTGTCATCACATTTTCATAATTTTAATGTATTTTTTACTCTTCTTTCCTTTTTAACCTTCTGGATTTGGTCTGGTCACAGAAGCCATCAGGCTTGTCTTTGAAATGCATAGACCGTGCCATCGTTTTCATTGTCTCAACTGTTCACCAACAGTTCCTGGAATCAATGTCACCAGTTGTCATCGGGAAGACCGAAGAGTTTCCTATGCTGCTACCAAAGTCTTGCCAATCTTGTCTGTTTTAATTCCATTCTCATCTGCAAAGCTGGAGTGCCCTTGCAAAATAGCCACATATATTCTGTTTGTTTCAAGCTGCCTCACCACACTAATCATCCTCTGGCCTGTTTTAGACCTACAAGACCAGCTGCGCCTCTCATCCACTCTCAGTGACTGCTCATCAGTCCTAGATCCTGTATCTCTCTAGAACACAGCTGAGAGCCTCCCCTGAGGGCACTGATCCACTCTCGTGATTACTCATCAATCCTAGATCCTGTATCCCTCTAGATCACGCTGAGATCCTCCCCTGAGGGCACTGAAGGATCCCCTTGCTTTGAAAATATGTCCTGAAGACATTCTTATAAATATTTTTTATATTTTCTTTATATTTGTCCTTACAGCCAACCTTCCCAATGAAGTGTACGCTGAGAACTCTAGTAAAACAGCCATCTTCCCTGAACCCACACTTACATCTGGATATCCTTCCCTGTAACATTTGTCACCCCAAAATGTGATTGCCAGCCTCATTTATTACTCCAGAGTGTGTCCCATGTGCCTCTTCCCACTAAACACATGCCCCACAAGACTGGTATACAAGCCTGGTATTTCAGTTCTTTGTTTTATCATATATGTTAAAATTTTATCTCATGTGAACAATCTTCAAGGAATGTCATCTAGATTAGTGATCACTATAGAGACACTCCCACTCCTGCAGGCACGATCTTTCCTGATTGCGACTTAGGTCAGCCCTACTCTGTGGCCCCTGCAGCACAAGAGCCGCACCCTGAGCTTAGAGACACATGAGCTTCCTCAGAAGTGTGGTTCTCTTTCTCTTCCTTCTGTCTGTTCTTTCTAAAGCAGTCTTCACATTCCATAGTTTATGCATAACTTCTTACTTCAAAGTGTATAACCCATCTAGACACTTAGGAGGTTGGGGCAGGAGGACTGGGAGTGCAAGGCCAGCCTGAGGCAATATGCTCACAATGGCTGGGAGCATATTGCACAGGAGAGCATTGGCTAGCACAAGTGGTGGTAGAATAAAGATGCTTGACCTATGGATCTGGCTTTACATCCATCTAAAAATTTAAACTAGCCAGGAGGTGGTGGCATGTACCTTTAATCCCAGCACTCGGAGGCAAAGACAGGCAGATCTCTGTGAGTTGGAGACCAGCCTGGTCTACAAGAGCTAGTTCCAGGACAGGCTCCAATGCTACACAGAGAGACCCTGTCTCAAAAAACCAAAAAAATTAAATTAAATTAACCCCCCCACCCACACACGCAAGAGCTCAGGGCAGTAAGAGGGATGGGTGAGCAAAGAAGACAGGACTTTACTACAATTTTATGTAAGTTTATTAAATATCTCCTCTCTGATCATTTCAGAATTTGCATTCTTTAAAAAGATTTCAGAAGAGATGGGTAATTCAATCCATGAAACAATGCCGTAGGAAGGAAAGAGTTAAAGAATCCTGAAAACGCACTACTACCTGCTTTTAGGAGCTTCCCAGGGTCTTTGGGGACAATGATAGACAAAACACCGCATTTCTGCCACATGCACACAAATAAAAGGTGAGAACACATGATGGAGTCTGAGGGCCGAATTTAGGCCAGAGCAGACAGAGCTGTTTCTGCAAGGCCCAGGTATTTCTGAGTTCATGTGACTGCAGGTCTTGGTGGAACAACATTATACTCAAGGTCAAAGACAGAGGAGGTAAGATGACCTGGTTGAGGATGACTACACCCAAATCCACAGAAGGCAGAGCCGTGACCATGCCTAGTCACGTTCTATAGCCCTACTCAGCACATCAGACACACAGGTCTTGGATGTTTTCAGATTTTATTCCTTGTCAAGTTTTGTGAACAGTCTGTCCTTTTAATGAACTTCCCCCCCCCCCCAACACACACCTTACATCTAGAAGTTAAAAAGCCATCCTGCACCTACAGTTCTTATTTTTTTAACAAGGTCTCACTATACAACCTCGGTGGGCCCAGAACTTGCTATATAGACTAAGTTGCTCTCAGATCCACAAATACCTTTCCACATCTGCTTTCTGAGTGCTGAAAGCACAGGGGAGTACCACCATGCCTGCCAACATCCCTGTTTTCCATAAGAAAGTAAGAAGCTGCAATCAGGGGAAGCGAAAGCTCAGTAGGAATTGGAGACTTTCCAGCTCTGCATTTGCTGGAACAGGGTGGGTGACACATCCTGTTGGGTTTGGTGCTCAGGGCTGGGCTGAGCTCCTTACTTTTTCCCACAGAACTGACAGTAGACAGATACTCGGACACAATCAGATGCCAGTTACAGAAGGAGAAGCCAGGAGTTCTTAAAATCACCACATGGAGAATAAGAGATCCAAACAAATCCTCTCTGGATCTGTATCACATACGGCGTGGGCGTGATCTTATACTATGGAAGAACATAATCAGGAAGGAATTCAGGTCAGTCACTGATTGGTGATACTTTAAATAGCCTATTACACACCCACAATGTCACCTGAGCCCCACTCCATAGACCAGGAATCTATTCTCTGTTCAATCCTCCTCCCATTTCATAACCTCTATCTTGTCAAAGTTTTGCCCCAAGAAAAATGCAATGAATCCTTGGGAAATGTCTTACCTGAGACAGAACAAAACAAGACCTGGTTAGAGTTCACAGGAGATTGGGCTAAAGGAGGGATTATCATCTGGCTCAGCTCCTCCATGCACTTCACCCTCATCATTATTACTGGCATGACCATATCTGTGGCTTCTTCTACCTGTGGGAAGAGAATGATCTATGAGGGACTAGGGAAGCAGCAGGGCTATTAAGATGTAGAAAAAAATCCTAGTCCTGACACCAGGAAATTTCGGAATTCTGACTGCAGAATCAGAGAAGACTGAAGAAGCAAGTGGAATGTTGTTCAACTGTTCTCCTGCCGTCTGCCCTCAGAGGGACCTGCTCCTCTGACCTCTAGCTCCTGGGAATCAGACCCACAATAAACATGGTGATAAATCTCTCCTGTTTTTCCATGTTATTCATGACAGAGTATCTGCACACAGGTCAAGGTTGCACATGTATGCGGTATGGACTTTAAATTCCAGTCTATGCTGAGCACAATTCTGAAAGACAACACTGATTCTAAACAAACACTAATTCTAAACATTCATTTATTTTACTTTGTGTATGTGTGGTGTTTGTGTGTGCATGTGTGAGTTAATGTGCACAATGCATGCGGAGTGCCTGTGCAGAGGACGGCATTGGATCACCTGGACCTGAAGGTAAAGAAGGTTGTGAACCTCCTGATGTGGGTGTTGAGGAACAAACCACAGACCTCTGCAAGAGCAGTAAGGACTCTTAACCAGCTCTCCAGCCTCAATACTGTACATTTTTAAGTATTTAGAGCTTCATGTGTCTGAAGGAGCAGGTGAAGCCTGTGGCTGGTTGGCATAAAAAGAAAATGTGTGCATAGAGGATGTACTGGCTGTGTGTGTGTGTGTGTGTGTGTGTGTGTGTGTGTGTTTTACCTTGGCATAAGTTAAAGTTAGGGTCATCTGAGAGGAGAGAACTTCAATTGTAAAAATGCTCGATAAGGTCTGGTTGTAGGGCATTTTCTTAATTAGTGATTGATAGGGGAGGGCCTAGTCCATTATGGATGGTGCCACCCCTGGGTTGACCTTAGGTGTTATAAGAAAGCTGACTGAGCAAACTAGTAAGCAGTACTTGTGAATCGTCTCTTATCTGCCCTGTTTGAGTTCTTGCCCTAAGTGCTTTCAACGATGAACTGACACATAAAAGTGAGTGGAATGAACCTTTTCCTTCACAAGTTGCTTTAGTCATAGTGTTTCATCACGGCAATAGGAACCCTAACTAAAACAGAGGATAAGAAAGATCTGTCTTCTCACCACAGGCTCTTTAGGCCCACTTATTTATATATATATACTTATATATATAAATGCATGCAGAGTTGACTTCTACAACTGTAAAAGTGTGGCACAGAAGAATGGCATATAGAACAGGAATGAGAGCTCAGAGTCTATCAATCATATGAGTACTTGAAACTGAGCAGCACCACAAGGATGTAAATGTGAACATATTCTTTAGGGACAGTCGCATCAAAGAAGGAAAAGCTGCTTTTCTTATTGTTGGCATGGCCCATGGCCAGCAAGGTTGATCTATGAGGACAGAAAGGGCTGTGTGGGGAATCAGGGGACTCCAGGTCTTTGCACTCGAGTAGTGCAAACAGAACACTTCTCATTTTTATTATTCAGCAAACAAAACATGATACAGTATTTACAGTTACCTTAAGCAAATACAAGTACAGTGAGGGAATACACCTAGTATTATGTCTTATCATCTTTGACCATGTGAAAAGTGCCAAGAATATTCCTACCAGGCCTTTGCTTTTTCACAAAGATAATGTGGACATGCCAGCGCATTTCCTTCATGTCTTTCTCTGAATGGCACTCACTTATCATAGTTTATGCAATTCTTTCTAGGAGGTCACTTTGTAGGAAGAACATTCTGCATTCTCTCTGTCCCGTCCATAGTTCACAGGAAGTTCACAGCTTTCTTACACAGACTCCCACATGTTATGATGAAATTCTTCAAAGTTTAATTGACAAGCACCAAAGCCCACCAGCTCTATGGGCTGTATCCGTGAACAGTCCCTGATCTAGCCCTGTGATATATTTTTTCACATCAAATTTAGTTATTTTAGTTTTATTTAAAATCCTCAACATTATATAAAAATATTGTGTATTTCATTAGTAAATCATTTCCAGCAATGGAGGTTCAAATTGTGTAAAGATTTTTCTAAGGGTTCTAATTCAGTTTACGTACTTGGCAAAACTGAGTCTGTGAAGAAGCATTACACTGTGGACTTTGTGAGCAAGGCACATATGTGCAAGACTGAAATATCCTCACTATGTGGAGATGCCCTTTCTGCATGACTGCATCAGTGTAAGACGCATTATCAAGACTGGTTCTTTTGGTGACTGGATATTGGTGGTACTCCACTGTGGGTTTTGATTAACTTTCACAAAAAACATACACCGTCTGCTCCACTATCTCAGACAATTGCAGGTGTAATGCTCCTTGCACACAACTGACAACCAGAGGATATGCATTCACACATTTTGTTTGTCCACCTAGGTCTTTGTGAATATGATTTATCTGTTCACAATGCTACATCAATATGACTTATACTAGTATATCTGAGTCTATACACATGCAAATGTGTATATGATTAAAAGTGGTCCCTGTTCTGACATGCTTTTATGTTTTTCATTTTTTTAGTAAGTACCTTACTAACTTAGTGTTTTTAACTAAATTAAAATCAAAGACAAAAATACTGTATTTTGGGGATTTTGAGCTTCTAAGATTTAAATATTTGGGAACATGACATTCAGAATTATGCCTTTGGGAATAATGGGACACACCCTTTTCCAGCAAGGAGGTAGAGAAAATATTCTGGGGCTTGGAGTCCCTCAGTTGGAAAGAAAACTCAGGCTGCCCCTCTTCCTACCTGACCTCTTCCTCCACATCACCACAGCAGCCAATAAAGCTCCCAGGAGAACCAGACCAACAGCAGCTGCTACGATGTGGATGAAAGGCTGGGGAGTCCTGCCTGGAAAGAAACAAAATATGTACAACCCTGATCCCAAAATTCAACCTTGATCCTGCTCAAGGTCTCCAGAAGTGCTTTCCCTGACCCCAGCTCTGCACCCAAGCTCTGTTACAAGTCCACACCCCACTTACTCCATCTCAGGGTGAGGGGCTCAGGCAGGCCCTCATGTTGCACGTGGCATGTGTATCTCTGCTCCTCCCCAGAAGGCACCACCACAGCTGCCCACTTCTGGAAGGTTCCATCCCCTGAAGGCCTGGTCTCCACAAACTCCATTTCTTGAGTCTGTTCCTCCCCATCCCTCTGCCAGGTCAGGAAGATCTCAGCAGGGTAGAAGCTCCAGGCCCAGCACCTCAGGGTGATGTCTCCTTCAGGTCTTGGGTGATGAGTCACGTATGCCTTGGGGGGATCTGAGAGTGAAGAGTTGGAAAATTTGCACATTTACATTTTTTTCTTGGGGCTCAGTGGTATTCTTGTGACCATTTTGGGAACAGTCAGTAGAATAGAGTGGGGAGGTGTGCCATCTCACACAGCACCCTGTACTCAGGCATCTGGAATAATAGATTACTTGTTTTCAATTCTAGAATCAGGGTGAATCAGCATAGGGTAGGAGACTAGGTTACCAAGAAAAATATACTTCTCGTTCTGACTGAATGGGGCTGAGAAACTGTATCACGACAGGTCTGAGCTCCAATTCATTAGGATGAGTATCTTTGCCCCTAGTACCTGTGCGCAGTAGAGTCTTACTTCCCATCTTCAGGTATTTAAGAAGCCACACCACACAAGGTCCCTGCAAGTAGACCCTCCAGAACTCAGCCTCATTTCTTCTCTCCCAGTTTCGCTTGGTGATCTCAGCTGCCATGTCTGTTGCAGTCCAGGTGCTCAGATCTTCATTCAGGGTGAGGTAATCTTGCCCATCATAGCCAAACTGACGATATGCATGAAGTAGGTGGCCATTTGGTCCAATGCAGCAGCCAGTCATCCTTTGGATGGTGTGAGAACCTGGCCCCATCCCACAAGTCAGTCCCACCCAGTTGGCCCACTCCTTTTGTCCTTCCTTCCCACCCAACCAGATTTGAACCTAAACTGAGAACCACAAAAGGCTCAGAGTCCCCCTCACCTCCTCCCAGCTCTTCCAAGTGAAGGCTTTCTGTAGTCTAATTGCCTTAGGCTGAACTTTGGGTAACGGAGTTGTGAAAGTGGCTAGGTCACTACCTGGGCTCAAGATCACTCACTGTTCTGGCTCTGGTTGTAGTAGCTTTGGAGGTTCTGAAAGTAAACTTGAATCTGCTGTTTTGCAGCTTTGCCAATGCGTGTCTGGTCATCCCAGTACTCCTGTCCCACTTGGTCCATACAGGGCACCCGGGGCTCAAACCTTGAATTCACTGCCCCACCGTTGAAGTGTACGAACTCTGTGTCGTCCACATAACCAACAGTCATATAGAGGGCCTCCTCTAGGCCAGGTCTTGATATTGCGATGTCGAAATATCGCAAGGAGTGGGAACCTGGGGGAAGCAAGGGGCTGCTGTCTGGCTTGACCCTCTTTTCACGGGGACCCAGGGAAGGGGTGGAAGGGGAGCAGGAGGTGCAGGGCTCATGGAGTGGGATAGGATGAGCAGCCCAGCTGGGAGGGTCTGGCTAGGCAGGCTTTCCAAATAGTCTCCCTGTAAAAGACTTTCCCTCAAGGCCTGAACTCACCTTCAAAGGTGTGGGTCAGGGCAAGGGAAGCCCCTAACAGCAGGTGGAGAGTGCGTAGCAATGAAGTCTCCATTCTCTGGATTTGGAGAAAAACAAGTTCCTGTGGGTTCACGGTGACAATATACCCCGGAACTGCAACAGCAGTTCGCTAGGAACTTGATAGCCAATGAGAATGAGAGCTGGTGTTTAGTCATCAGTATCCATGCAGAAAATCTTCATTTGGTTTACAAGAGAAGGAGGGAAACACCAGGGTTGTGAGTCATGCGTTTCTGGGAGAGTCTGGAAGCCTTTGCCCAGACTCTCCGACCTGCTCCCAGTGTTCATTGTTACATTGTTTTCCCAAATATTGCTAAGGTTTCAGTGTCTCTGTACGGCTTTAGGAATTAGGGTGACTTCCTAGTTGTAGTTTGTCTCTATTAGTATTGATCACATTAGAAATAAAACCCTAAACATAATTCACTTAAGAGATTTTACTAACCTACTATAGGAGTATTGTTTTTTGAAAGATAACTAGTTTCCAAAATATACTAAAAAGAGTGGGGATTTTAAAATTATATGCTACAATTTTCATGTCTTTCACTGCTGAATTTTTATATCTACTTCTGCTTTTAAGCTGTTAGGTTGATTGAGTATATGAAAAAAAAATCAGCCTGAAAACACCACATGTGGGAAATTGTTTTCAATAACGTGAATGTCCATCTTTGTTGAGATGATGAAAGGACACCAGCATTAGCGTCTTCAAAGATGCTTGCAATGCAGAGTCTGAAACACTACCATGCCAGCAAAGATGGTGGTTCACAGACACCTGGATTCTGAGACAGAACGGGAGGTGTGCATGAACAGTGTGGAAATGTATGGGGGGGGGAGCAGTGAAAAGGAGATAGAAAGGAAGTGAAATCCAGACCTACTGACCCTTAGATCTGTAACAGAAAATAGTCTATCCTGACACTAGGCACTGGGCAATGACAGCAGAGAAAGGCAAGGGCATCCCTTGGAAGGACTGTGAGTGAAAGGGAAAAGGAAAATGTTGCTAAACTTCACGTGTACAACATTTGGGACTCTGCAAAATTATGATTTAAGATATGGGCAGCAAACAGACACTGGCAAGGGACCTTCTTCAACTTCTAGCATGGTCACAGGTAGCCTGATGGGAATCATTTTCAAAGATTATAAAATCAAGCCTTTTGGCCATCAAGAGCAGAAGCCCATGCATTTTTATGTCTTGAAACCATAAATGCCTACCCTCTTCAGCTAATAAACAAGTGAGTACTGCTCCCCCTCCCCCAAGAAGCATTGTATTCACTGATTCGGACACAGATTCACAGACACAAGTCAGGGGGAGTACACATTGCTGCAGTTGAAGCTAAGTATGTGGCCATGTGGGAAAGGCTGTGATACCCCTGAGAAAAAAACTATTAGCTGTATTTGAAGAGTGATGCTGGCAGCATTAGGCAGGCAAACTCAGTGCCGACGCCTGTGAGCCAGGAGAGATTACCTCTGCTTCATTGCTTTTCGTACTCTCAGAGTCTTAGAAACTATTTGGTGGAAACTTACCACTGTTGGGAAATTTCCCATGCCACACTCTTACTGGCATGTTCCTGTTAGTATGTGGGGGTGGAGAGCAGGTGAGTCATGAGAGAAGGGGGAGAGTGACATGTGAAATTATCTCTGTGCTGAAGGAGACTCTGGCAAGAATGCAACCCAATAATAATAATCTGTCACCTACATCAGACAAGGCACCTGGTAGGAAAGCAGAAAAAAATTTCTCCAAAAACTCTTTCTGATCCAACTTGTTAAGTTTTCAGAGGGAAAGTAACTCCAGGTTTCCCTTCCTGCCCCTGTAAAAATAAGCTATATTAAAGGTTACATATGACAAACATATAGCCAACATTATACTAAATGAGAAAAAAGTAAAGCATTTTCTCTAAAATCAAGGACAAGACAAGGTGCCCCCCCTATGTTTATTCAACATAGAACTTGAGATTGTAGCTAGGTCAATAAGGCAGGAGAAAAGAAGGGACTGCAAATAGGAAAAGAAGTCTAATTATCCTAATTTGTAGATATCATGAGCCTATGCATAAAATATCCTAATGACTTTTCCAGAACACTCTTATAAATGCTTTAAGCAAAGCAACAGAATACAAATGAAGTTGCTGACAAATGAATCACAGAGGGTATCTCATTTATACTTATTTCCTAAAGTTGAAACATGTAGAAATAAACCTAATGAAGAAAGGGAAAGACCTTTGCAAAGAAAAATTTAAGATACAACTTAAGAAACTGAAGGAGACACTAGGAGATAGAATGCTCATAGGTTGGCAGAATTAATGCAGTAAAATGAATATATTACCAAAATTGTAATGATGTTTTTATAAACCAAACTATAAAGACACTCCTAAGGTCCATATGGAAATACTAAAGACTCAGGGAGCCAAAGGAATTCTAAGCAGACAGACAATTTTTTACAAAGGTATAAAATATATAAAAATATCTTGGAGAAAGTGTTGACAGGGGTTTCTGTCTCATCCAGTCCCTCAGCTGTTCAGTCCCAAAGAAACACACAGAACCTACATTAATTATAAACTGGTTTATCTATTAGCTCAGGCTTCTTATTAATTAACTCTTACATCTTACATTAACCCATAATTCTTGTCTGTGTTAGCCATGAGGCTTGGTACCTCTACCCATGAGGCATTCTCACCTTGTGTCCTCTGTGTCTGGGTGAGGACTGCAGACTGAACCTTTCCTCTTCTCAGAATTCTCCTATTCTGGTTGCCACACCTATACGTCCTGCCTGGCTACTGGCCAGTCAGCATTCTATTAAACCAATACAAGTGACAAATATTTACAGGGGACAAGACCATTGTCCCATAGCACTCCCCGCTTTTCCAAAATAAGAACTCTGAATCTAATATCCTTTGTTTAGCTTTTTTCCTTACCAATATCCATAACAACTTGTGACTAACACTCGTTCTTCTGCAAGAAAGTATTTTAACATATGAAGTATAGAAAAATGGATTTCTTCACATAAAACCTATTAAATTCATACTTCACATTCTTGATGGACGTCATTTCAGAATGGAACAATGATCTTAATGTAAGATCTGAAATGTGGCCTGAATTCTA